GGAGGCATAGTGATGCTTTTGCAATATTATCCTACTGCTGAAAACTGGAAACATCAAAAAATCAGATCACAGAACAGTGAGTAGGAATCAGCTGTGCTAGGAATTGAGGCAGGAATCTTGTAGAAAATGAATTAAATGGACTTCTGAGAACAGTGGAAATAAGTTCTGTGCATTCAAGTTACAGTAGAGCATTAAAGTGGAAAACAAACCAGTGGTGGATGCTGGTGCGGAAGGAGCCAAAAACTGACATACTGAATGGTGAAGTGAAATTAAATCCTTTACAAAAATAGTTGTATTTTAGATGTAGTAACTTTAAATTGAAGAAGATCTTATAAATTCCCTCCTGATGAGGTAACATGGCAATGGTTGTAGTGTACAGATGGTGCAGTTTATTTACTAACTATTTTTTTTTGTCAGTTGGCAGTAACATTTTAGTAGTACCTAAATGTGCATCTTAAGTGCCTTTCTCTAGGCATCTGTGCTGGAAAATTCAGGCCATGGTTGCTTTGAACTGCTTCAAAAGCTATTTTCTTTAAAACCTTACAGTATAGCAGTAAAAATAAATACCCTCTAGCAAAATAAAGGGGGACTCTGTTATCCTAATTTTTATTACCATTTAGTTGGATGGGAATGGATTTCAAGCATTCATTGAAATAAGATCAAAGCTTGAAATTAAATATCAAAATAATACCAATGATTTTAAGACACTTCGTCTCTCTCTGAAATGTACTCAGATCAGAGATCAGAGTAATACAACTGCTGTCACATCCAGCTTTCTCACGTACCTGTTTAAAGTATTTTTGTCAGTTCTAAACAGTCTGCTACCTGAGGGTTACCTTCTGCATTGCTGAATGTTTGTATGTTATCTCTTGCCAAAATATTTCATGCCTACTCTTTTGCTTCTTCATAAGTCTGTGCCAGGCATATTCTGATCTACAGGTAATGTGCTGAGTGAAGTTTGGCTCTATGCATGTCTTGACAATATGCGCTAGATCGTAATTCCACAGAGCGATAAATTGTAGGTTAGTTCCTCAGTGAAAAAGCTAGACGCTGTTTACCAGTTTGCTGTTCGCTTTTGAACACTGTGCTGAACAGGGGCTTGAATCTAAAATGAAGTGAAGAGACGTGCCATGAGGTTTGTGACTTACCCTTTGTTGGTATCATCTTCATCAAAAGAAGTTTTGTCTTTGAAAGCAATGCTGGCAAATATCACAGGCTCACGCTGCAAGGGGAGGTGCTGCAGCTCTGGTGAAGTTCTTGCCCGTTGTTGGCTTTGAACTGCATTGGGATGTATGCTTTCATGCCTTAGGAGCTCTTGTAAGTGCTTACGGTTGCTTCCAGGCCTTTTCTGACACCATGTGAAGGATACTTCATGGATGAGGGACCGAGCACTGAAACTTCAGATTGTAGCATAAAGCACCAAGCATCTAGACAGCAGTCATCTGTTAGGGCTGCGCCTGCTGGCAATTTTTGTTGCTGCTTTTTTGTCACTCTCCAATGTTGCCTGTTTGAGGCTTTGACATACTCTTTCTTCTTCATACAACTCTCAAAATCCTTCATTTTCTTTGTTGTTCCTTAATTTTGTCTTTCACTGGCAAAGCTGGGCATCTTATGCTTTCAACTAGCAAAAAAGTGATCATACAGTTTGTGTGTGCAGTCATTTCACCACTTTAATTAGCAAAAAGAAACCAGAATGCCTTCATTTAAAAACTTAATTTTCTAAATTCCGAAACTTTGTGTGTAGGCAAGAAGACTTGTAACCTAGTTTCCTAGGGAAAGGAAATTCCTGCAATCACTTTTCGCTAACCACCCCTGTTAATAACTTCAGGAGCCTCAGTGTTGATCGCAGGCTTCAGGTAGGGCAGAATTCTTAGTTATGAAATTCACTGCTTCATGAGCACAGGGAGGCAGATAGAAGGGAGAGGATTCACTTACCAGTCTGGATCCATGCAAGGTCAGCCCTTGTTGCTAGAAGTGAGAAGATACACATGAAGAGAGTTAACAAAAGCACCAGCTGTGTGGAAAGGGCTGTCAGCACTGGGGCACTGGTGGGTACCAGGACTCTAAGCAGGAAATGCCAGTCCAAGCAAAGGCGCTCTTCAGTGCTGCTCCTCGTGACTACTTCTTCTTCTTGACATCCATCTCAGGAGAACACCTCCAAATTGTAAACACTATGCAATAATGAACTGGCCTTTGTCTTCCCTCAAACATTACATCTCTTCCTGTGGACTCTGGCTGCTGGCCCTCAGCCTTGTCTTTCTTGTGAACCCAGTCCCTCCTTTTACTTTTCTCCCTGTAGAGGGACAACCCAAAGCACATTGTCCTGGATCCTACTGACACGACCCTGAGTGTGTGTCTCCAAGCCCTCTTACCTCTGCCAAGGCATTCTGGAATATCTGTCTGGTTTCTTCAGGAATACCCCAGTAGAAACAGACACCATAGCAGGTGTGGATGGGCTTTGAATCATGGTTGTGCTTTGGAAACTGCTGCTGTGGATACAATCCTGTGTTTAAAGAGCTGGTGTTTGTATTGTGAAGTCATCACAGAAACATGGTAGTACCATTAGTGATCCGAAGACTGAGACTGCACCTTTCCAGATAAACTGGTTGCATTGATTTTATCTCAAAGCACTTGGTTTGTTACACAAACAAAGCCCAGTCAGCAGGAAACATGCTTTTCTGGTTGTGTCCTTTTGTTCTTTAAAGAGCAAAATTAACATGCTACAGTGTTACCCAGTGGTGGGACCATATTTAAAGTAAAACAAGAAAACTAAATCCAGGAACAGCTGATAAACAAATGCTGAAGTTGGCTGCATGAATTATGATACAGTAAATTCATTTGCTAACAATCTTCTGATTTTAGAGTATGAAAGAGATGGAAGAATTCTGGTTTGGTTTGGCTTTATTTCTCAGGCTTCTTTGCTTTTTGTCTTGCTTTTCAGTGTTAGATACAATATCCGTCTTCAGTTTGACTACAGGGAAACTCCTGCTGTGTAGTATGTGCACCCAGTCCTGCAACATGGCATGTGTTCGGCATGTGTTCTGGAGTGAAGCTGTTTGGAAGTGGCACTTTCAGCATAGATGCTTGCAACAGGAATACTGCCTTTGATGTATCTTCAATAATCATGTCATAGAATCATACAATGGTTAGGGTTGGAAGGGACCTCACAAATCACCTAGTTCCAACCCCCCTGCCATAAGCAGGAACACTTTCCACTAGAGCTTGAACATTGCCAGGGGTGGGGCATTCACAACTTCTCTATGCGACCTGTTCCAGTGCCTCACCAATGTTGTGGTGAAAAATTTCTTCCTAATACCTAATTTGAACCTACCTTCTTTCAATTTGAAGCCATTCCCCCCTTGTCCTGTCGCTACATGCCCTTGTAGAAAGTCCCTCTCCAGCTTTCTTGTAGGCCCCCTTTAGGTACTGGAAGACTGCTCTAAGGATTTGAAGATGAGTGTAAGTTGGTAAAGCTGCTTTTTGTAGTAGTCTGCTGGTGACTTTTGAAAGAGGATATACTGGCCTGTCCAGGAAACAGTTAAGCACCTGCCTTCCTGTTTGTGGGTACCTTTTATACTAATTTAGTCTGCTGTTGCTTCAGCTTTTTAGTTTTACACCCTCTGCACTGTTGCTCTATTTACTGTTTTGGCAGTTAAATATGAGTAGCCGTTAGAAGTGTGTTTCCAGCTATTCACAGAAAAGTAGTACATAAATTAACAAAAATCCCTTTCTTAATCAGTGGACTAAATTTCTGATTCACTTAAGCAGATACTAAAATCTTCTCTGTTGTATTGCTAGTAAATTGATGGGCTCTATACCACATCACATTACTGGAAATAGATTTGAAACATATAAAGGTACAATATGCATATATTTTTAACAGTGAAAAGTAATTTTGTGACATAATAGCTAAAACAAAGTGCCATGAAGCTGTTAGTAGTAAATCGATTTTTTTTTGGTATGTAATTTATTATAAATACTGTCAAGCTGAAAAAAGCCACCTCCCAAACAACAAATGCATACTCATTACTCATTCAGTTTAGTGGCACAGAGGCAGCAGTCGGCCAGGGTGTGCGTTTTTATGTCTGCTTCAATTGCACACTTCATTTATTTGTACATGGCATAGGCGGCTTTTTCTGTCACACGGCATCACTGCACGATTAGCAAGTTGCGCCGCAGGGCAGCTGGGACGCTTTGCTGGGGCAGATGTTCTTTTCAGCTTATTCAGTGGCTGTTGTGGGTTGTTTACTGTTGTCATAGCTACCTACATTTCCATAGGAGCCGAGCTGCTGTGTGTGAAGCAAGTGAATATAGTTATAAAAGAATCATATTTTGTTCTGTCTCTGTAACTTACCATCTGTCAACCGACTGTTTGTGACGGATTCGGAAACCCATTTAAGAATAGCAGCAGCCAGCTGATGATTTTTGCTTATATTTAAGTGACAATGGATAAGGTTGCAAGTAAGTCAGTGCTTCAGTGGAATCCTAGTTTCTTTTTTTAATTTCCCCTTAACTGTAGCAGTTTGGCTTCCAACACTTTGTCAAACATCGCTGAAGTCCCTGTCGACAAATCAAAATGACTGAGTGCTGTCTTCTGCACCGGCTCAGGTGTAGGTGTTCCATATGCTTTCCCACTCCACTGTCAGCTCATCCCTCTGTGCTCCTTCTAAATTGTGATGTTGCACTTATTTTCACAGATCCTTTGTAATGCAATGTAAATACTCTCCACAGAATTAAAGAGTGAATTCATGAGGCTAAGAGTAAAGGTATCATGCACACATGAGTATAATTTGGTGACATTCATCACTACACTCTGCTTGATAGTAGCAATGGGATCGCATGCAAGTTTGGGGGTAAATTCAACATGTGATTAAGGAGCCCTCTGAATAATGAACTCATACCTCTTCACTGCAGAGATTTGGTTGAGCCTGTAGTTTAGCAACGGGGGCAAGAAGACTAGCCCAGTTGTAAATAATGTATTTATTGGTTGATTTTTCCAGATCCTGACATTGATGCTGCCACTGCCATGATGCTTTTGAATACTCCCCCTGAGATACAAGCAGGTTGTGAGTAGATATTTCTATAGCATATAGCAACATAGACATGTAAAGTTAATATTCTCTTTTATAAGTATACAGCATACCAGATCAAAAGAAGGATTTAATGAAGAAGTATAACTTCCCTAGTAGACCCTTACACTGCCTTGACCCTTAACATAATTTTGTGTTACATATTACATTCTTTGTTACATGAATAATAGTAATCCATGATCTCTAATGTAAAAGAGGGGTTATTGTTATTCATGACATACATATAATTGAGTAAACATACTATTATCTGCACTGTTAGAAAGACCTGGGGCAACAGCCAGGAGAAATGCAGGGAGAGAAAGGGTACATGGCATATGGTTTTGTTTTCATTTTGTTTTGATTTGACTCCCATCGTGTGAGTTACCACAGCCATCTGGATACTTTCCATTCACTTGGGCACTGTTTCAACTCCTTCCTTGCACACATCCTGCCCATTTTGCTTTTTTGCTCTGTCTGATGCAAGGCAGTAGGCAGGCTTTGGGCAGCAAGGAAAGGTCTCATTTCCTGCCAATACTGTCACCCTTGTTCTGTGATCAGACCCAAGGTTTTGATGCTGTGTATTAGAGCATTGAAGCGGCCTTGGCCTCCACTGTACTGGGATGTGCAAATAGTGCAGGAATCATCCTGCCCCACAGAGCTTGCAGTGAAGGTGTTGAAGGAATCTGTAGAGGAATACAGCTGCAGAAACGCAGGGAGTTGGTCAGCAAGCACGGTAATGCCAAGTGACAGGCAGCTCTAAAAAATAAAGGCAGAAGTTAAAATAGGAGCCATTATCAAACCTGTTTAACATCACCACTATTGTTCTAGCTTGGGCAACCAAGTCCAAATTCCAGGGAAGCCTTGATTAGCTTTGCACTTTGGTACTCTGCCTGGAGGAGAGAGTCAATTACCATCAAAGCAGTTCCTGTGCAGCCAGGGAAAAGCTATTGTGAGCCTGCTTTGTGACCCTGCCAGAGAAATTCCTCTTGAGAAGCTCCTCTTGGGGGAGAACATAATGTACCAAGTAACTGCCTATCCTGGAGAGAAGAGTGCTCCTTGTCTTCCTTTCCTAAACAGACTTCACGGACACTCTTGTGCGGTAAAAGGGTGAGCAATCCCACAATGTGTAGGTAGAAAAAGGGAAAGATTTTACTGGGGAGAGGAGGTTATTGTAGGGCTTAGTGGGAAGAATAAAGTGAGAGATCTTCAGAGGATCAGAAATAAAAAGAAAGCAGGTTTGTGAGGCAGAGAAATGGAGGCAAAGTTGGAGTAGAATGAGAATGCAGGGGTAAAAGGTGTATGAGAGAGGGAGGGAGATGTAAAGCAGTAGGTGCACAGAAAAGCATAGGAAAAACACAAGGATAATCTATACTCCTGGAGGAATCGGCAGGAGAAGACTGCAGACAAGAAAGAAAGGAGATTCATAGTAATCTGCATGTACTAAATACACTATAGGTTTTTATCACATGCACGTTTGCCAGCATTGCAGGTGCTTACATGGAAGTGATTTGGAGATTTGGGCACTGTTGTTTCATAGAGACCATAGCTTGAAGGTTGGCAGATGTTTTATTGCTATTTTATTTTGTAGAGGTCGCTCTGAGGAACGAATTTCTAGCCGCCTACAAGTTTGGCATATCTCTCTCCCCATGTCACCTTCCCAGTGGGCTGTTGTGTCAGGACGTCAGAAGTGAGAGGGGGGTTAAAGCAGAAAGATGGGTTCTCACTCGCATTGTTCCCTCCTTGACGTCCACAAGTAACAAGGCCTTCCTCTGTGCTTTTAAGCTGAAATGCAGGGTCTGTTCAGAAGTTCATGAATCCTTCCAAACTCTGGGTAGAACTGGCTGGTGCAGGAGGAAAGGGCAAAAGTTTTTATCGGAACCTCAGAGGTCCTCTGAATTGTAGAGGAGAAATGTTCTACTGTGTGAGAGAACGGTTACCCAAGGAAGTTAATCAGCCCGTCATGTGCATTGCAGTTGGGTAGCACTTATTATTTACCATGTTGGGAGAATGTTAGGCAACTTAAAGCAAGTTAATTACTACCACACATTAAGAAAAAATGGCATGAAAAATCACATTTTAAATTAGTTTTCAAGTAAAAGGCAGTTGGGCTGTAAAAATTTCATTGCAATGCTGAACATCATCTAGAAGCTCAGCATTCATTCTCTGCTCTGTTAGTGACTACAGCGATCTGTAAGTCAAGCTGTGAATGATCAGGGAAGTAAGCATGCTGGTACTGTTTGATCCCTTGAAGACTGAGAGTTCTGGTTTTTGTATCAGACTGTGGTGTTAAGCGTGTGCTCAAGCCATCAGGGCTGCAAAATGCCCCATCTTCTGAAGACAAGATTTGAAGAGGGAGGGTCACAGTTCACAATTTGGATGCAGGTGTTAATACCTGACTGAAAACCGCTGTTTGGTCTGAGAATCTGACTCAGAATGTGCCAGTTACTTCCATAACAGAGATGCTCACATGGAGGCAGAGCCTGAGTTTAATTTCACAGTGTAACAACTTGACAAGTCAGAAAGTTTAGAACTCCAGTACATTAAGGCCTTTGCCTGTCTTACAGACACTTAGCCATCATTGTGAAATGTGGATACCTCCAAAGCAGATTGTGTCAGCCTGGATTCATGTTTATGTGGACAGTTACATGTGTTAGCTTTTGACTTTGAAGGCATCTTCTTGGATTAAAAGCTACCTTTTGAGCAGGATAAAAATCTGTGCTCATCTAGGCAGTGTGGGTGCTAAAAACATCTTTAGGATGAAGCTAGCTACAGCCATTATTAAAATCTTATTAAAAATTATTCCTTCAATATAGCCTGTCAGAAGGGAATCCCATCTCAGTGGCATTAGAAAATCCACAATAAACTATTCCTGCTTTGTAAGTTTGATTAATTAGCTTTACGTTTTAAATGACCATTTAAAATTCCTTACCTGTATGTGAAACACTGCTAACAACCACACATTACTCCTAAAATCAGCTTTTGCTTTGATATGAAATCTTGAAATGATGTCTGAGCTGTTACAAACATTGCTTACAGTTTCACCCCAGTCACACTGTGCTTTAGTTTTCATGCAGAAATGAAAGAGTGAAACACTGTCACGTGGATTATTTTGTGTTTGTAGGGGTTTTAGTTCACAGGCTCATGAATTTGATTGTTAACATTGTCACTAAAGGTTGGAAATAATGCACTTATAGTTGGGGTGTTGACATCAGAAGTCAGTTCCTAAAGTATTAACACTTTGTAGTATTTTCACAGACCAAGTATTTCTAGATTGTGACTAAAGGCAGAAGTTCAAATTGCCTATTCTGTGCAAGGCTCTACTGAAACACACAGTCCAGCTGGCAATAAGAATGAAGCATGAAAGGTACTGTGATGTGCTCAGAAAAGGCATGTAGGGACATAGTTTTAATCCTTTTATTTGCTTCGGTGCATGGAAGTTGTTGTATTTCATCAAGTTTTGCGTGGTATTTTATCAAGTTTTGCGTGGTTTGATTATGTTTAAAAAGAAACTGCAACTCAGACACCTGCTTTCTTCAGTAGCAGCCGTCACAAGTTACAAATACTTTAGATTTTATTAGTAGCCAGTACATGAATACTAATTCCAAAATACGTAGCTTGCATTAAAAACTGTAGGTTGTCCTGCAGGACACTGGGGCCTGGCTAGGCCGTCTTCAGCAAGCTGCGTCAGATTTCTGGGCCTCTTTTCCCTGATGAGAATCCAATTCACAAGAGGGGACAGAGGAAAGGAAGGTGGTGAACAAATGGTAAAGCTCAGTTCAGAAGTCATGGCTACTAACTCAGTGAAGCCCGTGGGTTAGTTTTGTACAAGTGTTCAGATTTTCAGTACTTCAGTTCTTACCAGTGTCTTGAAAGTAAATCTTACCAGCTGTTACTCCAGTGTAGCGTTCCTGATTCTCACAGAGTGTCTTGTCATGGGCATGTCGTTTAGTATTGCCAAACCACTGTGTTTTGTCATGAATAAAATGGAGATTGGTCGTGGTGGGTTTGCAGTATGTTTTGGCTTCCTGAGATTCAAGTCACTGTAAGCATATTAAGTAGCAAAACCTTCTTAATTGGTGAGGTCATTCTGAACTTGGAACCACTTCCTCTTCAGGAAGGACCAGTAAGAAGGGAGTGTGTGTAGTGCATTGCTGCTGCTACTGAAACAATGCTGCATCAAAGGGTTTATGCTGGAAATCTTGATTTAATAAGCTCTTTTCAGCCTTCTGTTTTCAATACTGCTCACCCAGGTTAGCTGGAAGGTGGTGGACTTAGGGAGAATTTGTGGCACTGGATTTGTGGTTGGCTTCTTACAGCAGACGGTACTGTGGTAAAGATGTTTGGGAAGATATGTGCGTGGAATTCTGCTGAGTGCTTCTTAAAAAGCAGGCTTTCCGAGGGTGAGATCAGTGTCTCTCTGGTTTGGAAATCTTTATTAATCTTTGTCTCAAAGTGTATGAAACCTAGAATAGATATATACATTTTAAATCTGGTGGTAGGAGAAGCAATTAGAACTCAAGAGTTCTACTAATATTGTACCTCTAGAGTTCTAAAATAGTACCCTGATGAAATTTGCCTTTTAAGCTAATTCAAGTGGATTGTGTATATGGAAAACATATTTACAGGAATCAAGACAGAAAATTGATACAGAATTGCCTTAATAAAAGACAGAAATCCTTCAAATAGGATCAAATGGAACATGCTGTTTTCTTTGGTTGTTTTTATTGTGTATGAAACTTGGTAACTAATGTTCTGTTTGTGCTGCTGTAGACAAGTCAGATTCCAGCCTAACTTTTTACATCAGGAAATGATAAATCATGGACAGTAGAATGTTTCATAAAGCTATTTTTGCTGATGATTCTGTATCAAAGTGGAAATTGGGAAAAGGCATTTTCAGTAGGGTTGAAATTTTCCATTCCAGTTGCTGGGATTTTGGGGGGAATGGCATCCTCAACTTCTATTAAAGAGGATTTTTCCCCTCCCACTCCTCCCTCCCT